GAGAGGGAGAGGGAGAGGGAGAGGGAGAGGGAGAGAGAGGAGAGGAGCAGAGAGAGGCTTTTAAAATTCCTCTCTGGAGAGATAAACATAGAAGCCATTTCAGAACAGGTATTTCAGCTCTGGGCCTGGCGTCTTTCCCCCATTCCCGTGACGGGCACTGACTCATTCCTCATCCACCTCTGCCACCCGCCCCAGCGTTCATGAGAACCTGTGAAAATTTACCTTGTCAAATGTGGACAGCCCCCAGGACCCCAGGATGGCTCACGGCCCACTTGCCCTGGGCACTGTCCTCCAGGTAAAGGGAGCTGGCAGGTCTGAATGGGCGGGGTACCTGCCCCCTCCAGCACCAAGGAGGCCAGTGCCTAGCTTCCAGTGGCACCGCCCTTCTCCCCACGCTGCCCCCTGCCTGGGGCCTGGAGATCCCAGGGACGATGCCCACTGCCCTGAGTCACCCATGCCGGCCTCATACCCGCCCAGCTCCTGGCCACCTCATCTTTGCCCCCAAGCTGGGGCCCACTTGGCTGCCGGTGGCCTCCACTCTGGGCTGGCTTCTCTTTGGTCCTAGGTATGGTAGAGTTGTGTGTGTATGTGGCCAGACGGACAGGGCCGACGCTGTGCTTGGTTGGGGCACCCATCACCCTCCTCCTAGGGGTACACTCTGCTCTGTTTAGCACTCCTTTGACTCTTGCTCTTCATCTGGGAAAGGAGGGCAGCGGCGTCAGGGAAGGCGGGGAGGGGGGGCAAGGAAGAGGCTCCTTCCTGAAAGAGAGGAAACCTGGGAGCTTGGGAACGGAAAAGGCTAGGGTCCCCCCCTCCCTACTCATGGCTTCCTGTCCCCTCCTCCTCCTTTAGCCAACACCTGGCATGGGCATAAACAGGGACTTCGCTCTCTCCCACTAGGACAAGATTGGGTCAAGGAAGCAAAGAACAGGCAGCAAGGAGTGGGATGGGGGAGGGCTGGCTAGGCTGCCCCTGGGCCGATGGGCAAAAGGGCACTGCCCTCTGGGGTTGGCAGCTAGCTGTTCCCTCCCACCCAACACGCCACAGACGACAGACCTCCCACCAAGCAATGCTGCCACAGGGTCAGAGGAAGCTGGCACAATATATTTCTCAAGGGGAGTGGGGGGGCAGGCGTGCTAGGGCTGGGGGCTGAGCTGCGTGGAGTGTTTTTCCTGACCGCAAGCTGCCCAGCCCTCCACTCCCTGCTCCGCCCTACCCCCCTCTCCTGTTTTCCCGCAAATATTCTTCCCATAACTTCAGAAAACTCAAGGGCAAGAACAAAGGGTCCGACAGAGCTTCATCCTCCCAGTACCATTTGCCTCACAGCCCTAAACCTGCGCAGGAGAAATTAACTCCTTCCTGCCCAGAATGCTTTGTAACCCTTTTAACCCCTTCCACTCCTGAACATTTCCCATGACCTCCCGTCCCCATCTCTTCAGTGTTACTCCTTGAACCTCATAAACAGGTGACTCCCCCAGCCTACCCACACACAGCATATGCCTCACTCATGCTACCTCAAAAGGTCCCTTGTGGGTGGACTTTCCAGGGTCACCTTAAAGAATGACCACTTAAAGCCAGAAGCCCAGGTCCCCCTGAGGGGTCCTTCCAGGATCACAGCGAGCATTCTGCTGACTCCTGATGTCACATCAGGTACCTGTCAGTGTGGGCAGATGCCCAAGTGACACACAAAGAGAGACACAGAAGCTTTCCTGGTGGAAGGGCCTAGAACAAGAGCCCTGGCGACCAGGGAGGGTCGTCCACGCTGGAGGCAGGAACTGTTCAGCATAGGTCCCTCACTTAGGAGGAACAGGGGTGTCAGAGGGAAGGAAAGGAAGGGCAGAAATAGTGCCTGTACAAGCAGACACGGACAGGTTCCTGCCCTGGGGTGGGGTGCTCCCAGGTATGGGGGAGAAGTGAAAGGAAGAAAATCTACAACCCCTCCCGCCTCTGGTCACCTCCCAAGACTCAGGCAGGGGCTGGCCGGGACAGTTAACCTCGGGTGGGCGGGGGGCAGTGCCAACCGGGCGCCCAGGCTGTCGGCGGGAGACTCAGGGCTTACTTGGGGTTTGAACTGTTCCAGAAGACGGTGTGGCGGTCAGCAGCGGCCAGACTGCAGCACAGACCCAAGAGAGGGGCCCAGAGGAACTCCATAGCGCGGGGCCTGGCCAGGCCGGGCGAGAACCGGGGGCTCCTTGGGGTCTGGGTTCCCGATGGCTCTCTCCACCGCGCAGTCAGCACCGCGCTCACTGCTCTGGCCCCTTAGCCTCGCGACTCCGCCTTTTGGGCAGGCGCCGCCGACACCCCGCCCCGCCCCCGCCCCGCCCCGCCGGGCGTGCGGCTGCCCTGGGGCTTGGGGGCTGGGGAGGTGGAGGAGGCGGGGGAGGGGAGGGGAGCGTAGCGCTCGCCTGTGTCCCGACAAATCTGCTCAGCGCTGCGTGTCCGCTCACTTGTGGGTCTGCGTGCCACTTTGTGGGCCTGTGCGGGGTGGTGGGTCTGTGTCCCCGGGCGCAGTCGCGTGCGGGAGAAGGAACGAACTCCATGTGCAGGGCTGCGAACACGCGGATGCGGGAGCCCGGCTGTGCTGCGCCGCGCGCGGATCTTGCAGGGTGCAAGGTCGTTGATAGATCCTGCACCTTTCCCGAGCCTCGCACCTCTGGGCTCGGGCGCCCGCGTTCTCACACTCTCCTCCTACCCTCAGCTTCCCGGACTCTTGCGCTCGGCTGCCCCTCCCCACACACGCGGCTGTTTGTTTTTGTTGGGTTTGTCAATGTTGTCTTTGTTCGAGAGATTGTGTCATCGCCTAGATGCCGGGAATCAAGTGCGACCCTGTGTGTGATCAAGTGTGTAACGTGTGCGGCCGGGGCTAAGGGCGCCTCTTCATCAGTGCCTCTGGGAGGGAGGGACATTCGGAAACCTGGGCCTGCGGGGGTTTGCTCTTGTTTCTAGGGCGCCAAAGGGCACTAGTGGCTTGTGTGTGTGTGTGTGTGTGTGCTCGCGCGCGCGCGCGCGAGCCAACAAACAACACGTGTACCGTGCGAACGGGCTTTGAATATGGACTGTGAGAATCTGGGCATGAAGGGTGACAAACTGTAGCCACACATGTGCATCTGGCATGTGTAAATATGTGTGATGGCGCGCAAGTGTGAAAGCATTTGTGAGGAGTATCACAGCCGCGTGTGGGGAAGCATGTGAAACTTTGACGTACGTATGCTAATATTTGTGAACAGCGTGTGAAGAGGAGGGGAAACGTGTACGGGCGAGCAGCGTATGTTGGGTGGGGGCGGGGGTGTGTGTGCGGCGTCCCGGGGCTGGGCGGCTGGGTCTGGCCCAGGTCGCCCAGTTGGGCCCCAATACCCAGCTCGAGCCTTCTCCCCCGCGCCATGTAAACAAACCCGCTGGAATTCGCCTCTCGGGGCTCTTCTCCCCGCCGGGATCTGCTGCCGTCTGGAGAGGGGTTGGCGGGTGGGTGTCTACCTCCCAGCTCTCGGGCTGGAGAGGGTGGGCAGGTGTTTGATTGGGCTCGTGTGTGTCTGGAGCGGGAGGGCTGAATGCTGTGTGCCTGCATGAGTTTGGTGGTTTACGTGTGACTGTGTGGCTGTTTGCATGCGCGCCCCCGGTTGGTGTTGCAAGTCTGTGCGCACCCCTGGCCAGCCCGTCCACGCGGCTGCGCATCGCAGGAAGCCGCAGGCCAGGGGCCCCTGGCCAGCTCCCGCCCAGCTTCCCTGGTTCCCAGGCGGTTTCATCCCGCTCTTTTACGGCCAGGCCTGGCGACGGCCCCTGTAATTACGAGGGGCCGGGACGCCGCGGCTAGTCCTGCGCTGAGCCCGCCTGGGAGGAGCCTGGGGCGGGGAAGGGCCTGGGCCGGCCCCCACGCCCCGTGGGACGCAGCTCCTAGAGGCTGGACTCGTAGCGCGTATGATAAATATTTACCGAGCCCTGATTAGGTGCCCGGCCCCTTACTCCCTGGCTTTGCGCACGGCCCCCCATCCCCACCCCCTCGCGCGCACCTGCCCCAGGCGACGTGCCCAGCCCCGCGTTTACCCGCGGTGCAGCCTGTCCCTCCCGCCGGGGCCGAAGTCTACTCGCCGACCAGCCCCAGGGCGGCGCCTCACGCGCGTTTTGCTCACCTGGGAGGACACCTGGGTGTCGGCCTCCCACGTGCCCTTGGCGAGATTACCCCATCCCACCTCGTGTGTCTCATAGAATCGAAGCTCCACGAGGGCAGGGATTTTTTTGTTCACTGCTGTCTTGCCAGCGCCTGGCACAGCACCTAGCGTACATAGTAGGTGGTCAATAAATATTTATTGAGTGAGTGAAATCAGTGTTCAGAGAGGGTCCTTAACTTCTGCTGGACATACTGCTCTGAAAAGAAACCAGAGGGGTTGGTGATGGTGGTGGTGGCGGTGGCTCTTCAGAGAGGCTGGCCCAGGATTGCCCCCTGGAGGAGACGGTTTGGGGCACAGTCCCCCGTTTCTCTGACCGCCGGGACTGCTGGGCGGGAACACGTGGGGTCCCTGAACTGCGCCGCTCGGGACGGGCAGGTTCGGGCTCGCTGGGCCCAGCCTGGCGGGGCCACGTCCGTTCCCGCCCTGCCTGCGTCTAGGGCTGGAGCAAGCCAGGTGGAGAAAAGGTGGGGGAAATTCTGGGCACGAACGGGACGCCGAGCCCTCCTTCCCCGACTTGGCGCTGTCCCCAACATTTTCACTTCAGGTTTTGATCTCATCACTCTTCTATCCATATATTTGTGCGTTTGGGGGTCGTTCGTCAGACCTAATGGGCACCCCTCGGCGCCAGGTGTTGTGATGGGCACCGAGGGTAAGGGTGCGTTTGAGGTAAAATCCCTGCCCTTGGGGATCCCAGACCTGTAGGGGAAATAGACAAGTCACCGTTTATGCCACAAACTTGCTAAATGCAAAGCCCAGATTGCAGACCCACAACACGCGCTCGCTGGGCCCTGACACTCCTAGAGCCGCCGCGACGCCTGCTGGACCAGGAGGAGAGTTGCAGGCACTGCGCAATGCAGGCGGAGACCACACAAGGGACTTGCTGGGCTCGGGAGATTCGACCTGCAGACCAACTCAGCCCCCAACCTGTGCCCTCCCCCATCTCAGCCCCTAGCCTGCCCAGGCGGGTCTCGTCTTGGTTCTTGCTTTGGGCTACCTCTCACCGCAAAGTTGTGCGCCTGTGTTGGCTCTCAGCACCGCCACCCTCAGGCAAACATCTGTGCTCAGTGACGGGAGCTGTCTGAGGTGTCTGTCTGTCTGTCTGCCTGTCTGGGAAACTCCCCTTGTGAGTCCTTTCTGGGAATTCCTGTGGAACAGGGTTAACCCTCTGAGTGCCCCGGGAGAGGCCTGGCCTCTGGAGGGAAGTGCTGTCCACTTGCAGGGGCACTGCCGGTCTGGAGGCGCCATTTCCAGTCTGGAACAGGCAGAACTACTTGATTGCTGCTCCCTTGCTGAGTGCCCTGTGGTTTGGGGTGGGGAAGGCCAGAGCCACAGGGCGCTGGGGCGCTGTCTAACCTGGCACAGCCCCTGAGGGCATCTCTGGGCAGTGGCAGGGGTGGGAGGGGTGGGGGGTGGCACAGGGCAATCCTGAGCCTGGAGCAGCCTCTGCTCTACTCCCTCGATGTCATTTGAAAAATAAAGTGTTTCCCACTTTATTAGTAATATGTGTATATTTTTCAAAAGTCTGAAAATAGAGAACAGGAGAATAAAGGGGAGCGAGCAACCACCAGCCGCTGTTAACATCTTTGTCCCTTCCCTGTCAGCCTGAAAAATAAAGTGTTTCCCACTTTATTAGTAATGTGTGTATATTTTTCAAAAGTCTGAAAATAGAGAACAGGAGAATAAAGGGGAGCGAGCAACCACCAGCCGCTGTTAACATCTTTGTCCCTTCCCTGTCAGCCTTTTGCCTGTGAGATTTTGTTTGCTTGCTTTTAGTGTGATAAATATGACTCGTTTCTATTGTGTACTTCTTTTTTCCCCTTTAACTTTGAGGCAGAAGACATTTTCCATGTTATAAACTCTTTGTAAACAATGTTTTTAACCACAGCGTAATGTTTCATTGAGTGTTTCCGAGTTTGCCATTGTAGTGAGGCAGCATGGAAATAAATAAACACATCCACACACTCAAGCATGCCTTGGTTGCTGAGCGGTTGACTTGATTGGCTCTTAGAACTTAAAAATAACTCTGAAATTGACTTTCATTCAACAAGTATTTATGACACACCCACTCTGGACTGGGCTCTGGATGGGGGCTGGGGGTTTAGTGGAGGACAATAAGGGAGGGCTCTGCTCTCACCCAGCTTACAATTTAGATGAAATGTGGGCATATGCTTTTCTAGATTTTGGAGAATTTCACAGATGTGGGAAAATGCTTTTGATATTGCCAAACCAAAGCTGGACTCTTTTGACTACTAGTCCAGTTCTCTTACTGAGGGCCAGGGTGACCAGAACCTAATGGATCTGACCCTCCCCCCCATCGAACTCATGAAGGGACCAGACTCCATGGGAGAAGGTGGAATTCCTCCCCGCTCACACTGCAGGGAAGACCAGGTTGGGCAGGATGGGGAGTGGGAGGGAGATGGGAGGGGCAGCGCTAAGGAGGATGGGACTGTGATTTCTGCACAGAAAGCACCAAAAGGTGTTTTTTATTTTTTTTTTCGGTGAGGAAGATTATCTCTGAGCTAACATCTGTTGCCAATCCTCCTCTTTTTGCTGAGGAAGATTGGCCCTTGCCTAACATCTGTGCCCATCTTCCTCTACTTTATATGTGGGGTGCCTGCCACAGCATGGCTTGATAAGCAGTTCGTGGGTCCGTACCCGGGATCCGAGCCTGCAAACCCCGGGCCCTCGGAAGTGGAGTGCTCAACTTAACCACTATGCCACTGGACCGGCCCTCCAAAAGACGTTTTGTACTGCTGCCTCTTCCACTGAAAATGGACTAATCACTCATGTCAAACAACTGTACTGGGAGGTGCTGGGGACTCTGAAGTATATCCTTGCCCTAAAGGGCTCTATCTAGTCTACTGGTAAATATGTAATTAGAATACAAGATAAGAATTATAATAGAGGCATAAATGGAACAACAGCCTATGGGCTCACAGAGGAAGGAATGTTTATTTGGCGTGAGGAGGACTTCACAGAGGAGGGGATGTTCGAAGTGGGTTTTGGAGGACAAGTAGGCATTCACATTCAGGGATGAGGGAACAATGAACTCAGGTAGAGGAGTGAGAGTTTGTGCAGTGAATACTCTGGGGTAGCTAAAGTTACAGAATGGGTCTGGGGGAGTGGCAGGAGATGAGAATAGAAGGTGGTTTGGGGGCCGTGTTGCCAAGGGCCTTGAATGCCATGCTCAGGATTTTGAACATTATTCTGTAGCTCAGAGATGCTTAAGTTGGAAACATAATCAGACTTGTATTTTAGAAAAGTCACTGTGGGTAACAGAATGTGGGTGGAAGAGGGAGCTCAGCAGTGGGGGAGCTGGTTAGGCCTGAGCTGCAGGAGTTCCAGCCAGAGTGAGGAGAGCCTGAAGCTGAGGAGTGGCAGAGGGGGGCAGAGGAGAGGACAGGTGAAGCAGAGTTGGATGAGAGCTGAGCCATGGGCATGAGGCAGGGAGGAGTCTGGGATGGCTTAGTGGGCAGAAG